TCCCCCCCCCAATGCCGGCGCGACGTTACCGACCCGCCGCAGGTTTCTTCCTTTCTTTTACCACTAATTTCTATTGGAGGGTGTATTGGCGATCTCCCAACCCTTCGGTCACGCTGCCTCGTGAGAGGCAATGGAAAGAAGAAGAACAAGAGAAAAAGGTCGCAGTAGGGGATGGTCAGAGCCATGCCTATACCACACTGCTCCCTTTAGGAACCTGTAAATTAAATGTATCCCCAGTTCCATCGACCCTGCCGCAGGGAGCGGAGGGGCGCAGGACCCGGTAGGTTGTTGTTGCGCCCCATGCCCCCCTCTCTGCATCAAGGATGCAGCGAAGGGAGGCGAAAGGTTAAAGGCCGCCAAGGATAGAGGGGTGGGGTATGAATAGTTTTAAGTTTAACGCTGCTAGCGCCATGGCGGTCCCGCCCAGGGTCGATGGCCATGGCGCCGAGACAATTATGTTCTCACGGCAATGCTGTGTTGTTTTCTCTACCTGAAAAGAAAGGAACCACCGGTTCCATCGACCCTATCACCGAAGCGGAGAGACGCATTGCCCGGTAGTTTGTTGTTGCGACCCATGCTCCGCCTACCTGCATCACGGATGCAACGAGGGGGAGCGAAAGGCTAAAGGCCGCCAAGGATAGGGGGAGGGGCAAGGGGAAACATATGGAGAGTTTTTAGGTTTATTGCCTTTGGCGGGATGGCGGTCCCGCTTAGGGTCGACGGCCACGGCGCCTAGCCAATTTTGTGCTCACGACAATGCTGTGTTGTTTTCTGCACCTGAAAAGAAAAAAACCGCCGGTTCCGTCGACCCTGCCGCCGAAGCGGAGGGACGCAGCGCCCGGTAGGTTATGAGGGCAGCCCCTGCCTCCTCCCCTGCATCCCCGTGCGGCGGAGGAAGGCGGAGGGTGATGGGCTGCTTGAGTGTAGGATACCTCTCCGAGAGGTATAAGAACGATAACATTTCTTATGCGGCGAGAGTTAAAGAAACGTTACCTGGGGGTGATTTAAACGTTGATCCTTTGCGAAAGCATCCGGCGTCTCTTCGTCTCTTCCAGTCCCCCGGAGGTCTTCTGCTCCTCCTTCTCCAAGTCGGCGAGGTGAGCTCAAATTCTGAGACGCGATGACATCCCACTTACGCGCAATTGTTGCCAATTAACAAAACAATAGCCCGGATAAATGTCACTCTCCTCCGTAACCGGTAAACGAGACGTGACTACGCGAGACGCGCGCGAATATCGGTGGACGAAACCGCGTACTTTTGTGACGGGCGCCTTCAGGGTCGCCACGTCACATATCATATACTAATCGTATTCTATTACTTCATTAAAAAAATTAGAAAAATTAGAAAAATCACATACTTTACAAGAATTAAGAGAATATAATTTTACGTTGGACAAATAGTGAAAAAATATGTACCCATTGAGGAGGAAACAAAGTAATTGAAGAACAAAAGATAATAATAACAAAAAATATTTTCATTATATTATACTTTATATTTTTTTTTATTATGTTTTATTTTCATTATGATTTCCACAGTGGTAAAAGTATAACTAATGGACATTATACAAGCGTTGTGCGTAATAAGCACACAGAATGGATTTCAATTAATGATTCCATAATAACAAAATGCAGTCCACGAAATTCCAAGAATGTATACATTTTCTTTGCTGAAAAAGTAATGTAAAAGATCTAAATAATCTACCTAAATAATCTACCTAAATAATATACACAAAAAGCAATGAGATCATGACAAATAATCTTTACAAAAGAAAAAAAAGACGTCGAGTATGGCGTGCTACTTTACTTTTTAATAGCATAAAATATATTAAGTCTAATAAAAAATATAAAAAAATAATTAGTTAAAGCAAAATTATGTTTTTAACTTTTGAAATGAAATTGTCCCAACATAATAATAATTTGACGAATTAAAATTATATCTAGACAAAAATAATTTTTAATTTTTAATATGTCCAGACATAATTTTAATTAATCAAATTATTATTATGTACAGATAAAAATTTAATGAAATGAATCAAAATTATGTTACAACTTAATGATAATTCTATATATTGAAATTATTTTTAAATATAAAAGTAATACCGAATTTTTATTTTGTTCTGACATAAATTTAATACATTGAATTATTAGTATACCGCAATATAAAGTAATTACGAAGTTTCATTATGTATCTGAATTCTTCGAATTCAAATTATATCTAAATATAAAAACGTAACGGCCTTGCGTTACGTGCGGGATAGTCTTAGCCGGTGTGGTCCGGGTGTCGTGTGTGAAATGAAAACCAGTGGTATAGGTGATAATAATATGAAACTATATTCTAATTTCGAGGCTATTTACAATTATTTACAGGCGACGTTACGCCGTTGGCGCGTGGTCGCGTTTTTGCTCTCGTCGGGAGCCGTTGTTGTCGTCTCGCGATCAGCTGCGAGCGTCGAGGCGCGCGAGCGTCAGGCGGGACGCGGTCGGAATTGTTTCCTGATACGCTATTGTTCGTCGTTCGGAGTTCGTTGCCTCATCGGCTTTAATCTGTTTATCTATCCTGATCTTTCCTTGCTGGTTTAAAGGCGCTCGTTATCACCGTTATCTTACGTTTTGTATGCGTGCGCGATCGTAGATGTTAGCGGCGTAGCGTGAGGAGGAAAAGGATGTCGACGTCGCGTATCCACTTCGGTCGACAGAGCGAGGTACAGATAGGAAGCCGACGTCGCGTATCCACTTCGGTCGGTAGAGCGGTATCGGAGAAGGATGTCGACGTCGCGTATCCACTTCGGTCGACAGAGCGGTGTATGGATAGGAAACCGACGTCGCGTATCCACTTTGGTCGGTAGAGCGGTATCGGAGAGAAGATGTCGACGTCGCGTATCCACTTCGGTCGACGAGATGTCTAGGATCTCTAGGAGTTTTGAGTTCTGGTCGGTCGTGCGCCTGAGAGGAGCCTTCCGATCAATCTCTCTCGATATCAATTTTCTGTCGGCTTTTATACTAAGTTATAACAAACAGTTCGACTGTTTGTTGACCTTACGGTTATTCCGCGCGCGGTTGTTCGGCGTTTTCTTGTTAGTATTACAGCTATTGTTTCGGCCGTCGTGACGATTCCCGAATCGTCACATGTATTAGCATCGCTAATAGATGAAGTTGTTATGATAAAAAAATATTTATAAAACTCACCGATATTTTTTCTACCAATAACAATATTTTTATTCACATTATAAGA